TTCGCCGTGATCACCGAACAGCCACACCAACGAACGAGGAAGTGCCCGCGGCGTGACGGAGCTACCGTCCAAAGCAAGCCCACACCCGCGCAGCAACATCATTTACTGATGCTTTCACAAAAGCGTTTGTCATTGAACGGAGCCGTCGCTCAGGCCGGCCTGAGACCCCATCACACCACGTAAACCCATTCACCGGAGACGGGCGCCGTCATGCGCGACAGGACACGAGGAAGCGGGAAAAGCTAGGAGCGAGACCAAACAGACCGTGAGCGAGACCAAAGCTAGGAGCGAGACCGTGACAAAACGTCTGTGTCTTCAGGTGCGAGCGCCGGTGTCTAGCTAAACTAGTGCTGTGAAATGTTGTGCTGTGCCAGAGATTCAACAAAGTCCAATCTTTTAAATTTAATCTGCACTTAATCCGCCACCGACCAAGTTTCAGCTTGAACACGGCTATCAGAATTTGGTCAAAAATACGTGACACTGAGCATGATTCTTATATCGTCTGGTGAGCTGGTGATCACTTGCCAACGTGCAAGCGTCGACGTTTTACTCAGCATGTTCGGTTCTGGTCGACAACCTGTACCGATTTTCGCTTGGGGACTGTTTGACGCTGGGCCCTCTCTGAAATTTCCAGACTCTCTCGTCTTACAGAGGCAAATATATCAGTAGGCGCATGTTTTGTCTCATCCAAGACGTGCCATTCTGCCAGGCCCACCAGAGCACGTGCAAATCCATGAGCGCAATTCCGCGTGTTGTCAGTTATAAGCCGCCAGTGTCCCCCTCCCCCCAGCCTAATTCAGTCCAACATCCCACGAGACGTCTCCCCGGTTCTTAAGAGGAGATCGGCTGGGGCTTCGAGTGACAGCGCTTGGTTGGTGACAGTAATCAACTCTTTAAGTGTGTCTCAGGTTATTGTACCTGCTGTGCTGTCGCAGGAATGTGTGATTGGCGTCGCTTGTACACCTCGTAGACGAGCTGCCTTTGACTGTCGGTTGGGAACTTCCAACGATTTTCATTTGCTTCGAATGCAAGTTTCTACCCTGCATTGGTATATTCTTCTAATTGTGTACAGAGAAATCCATGCCGCAAGACGTCTTTCGCGGCGAATGATAACAGATGGGATTGCTCTCATGATGTGAATGATACCAAGACATAAGCGAGTGGAATCCGTCGCCTTTGTGAACTCATACGGATAGAATTAATCGGAATATTGAAACATCCTCTTCCATGTGTTTGACGGGTGGGGGCGCTTTTGTGTTTAGCGTCCAGTGTGTTTCTGTCTGGTTTCTGTATTGGTATCATTTCTGCAGGGTCGAGTGTGTTTCCGGTGTGCTGTGTTTTTCGTTAAGTGTTTCTTAAAAATTGGCTAGCTATGATTCCGGTCTGGCCAGACATTTTCAAAGCATGCCTTTGATGCGTGGACGGTGTTTTACACTTTTGGAAATTGTTACCAAAGTATTATTAAGTGCACACATATTTTTGTTCCATAGATGTCACAACGAACAGTAGTATACGCTAGTGTACTTTGCATTGCTTATTTTTCTGTCTACGCCGCAGCGTCCCGTGTTCGAGATCAGTTTCAGACAAGCGGCACTGACCGTTTTCTGGCCCACTGCTGGTGCATTTATGCATAGCTAAACAAAGCTGTCCGACTCATAGCTATGTGCGAAGGTATTGAAATATGGTGATGAATTATGGCCAGTGCATTAGCTTACAAAGTGGAGTTGGTTTCATGCACTCATCAGCTCTGGTGGATGAGACTTGATTAGGGGCTTTAAAAGGGTCTCAAACGAGACATTGCCTCATGCACGACAGCATTTGATTTTTAGAACACATGGACCCACATCTTTGGCGTTACAATTGTCCGTTTTCTGCTGCATCAGTGTAAAATGGCCTCATGCTGCTGGAGCCTCCGGTAGCCGAGACCCAAGCAAAGCTCCGACTTGTGCTCTTCGACTTGCCCGGTAGGGTACATACGTTTCCGATGCCAATCAAGAAGAGAGGTGAACTAATGGGGATATTTCAACGTTGCAGAACCGTGCGGTCCCATCAAACAGCTGGCATTTAAATACCCTGACGAAATTACCGGACGATTTTTAAATAACTGCGCTGCCTGTTAATGTCATCGCGACGGCACGACCAGCGCGGGACAGGCCGGGGCGGGTCGAGAAGCTGAGGCTACATGTCCGGTTAGTTCGGGGACAGGCCGGGGCGGGTCGAGAAGCTGAGGCTTCATGTCCGGTTAGTTCCGGGACAGGCCGGGGCGGGTCGAGAAGCTGAGGCTACATGTCCGGTTAGTTCGGGGACAGGCCGGGGCGGGTCGAGAAGCTGAGGCTGCATGTCCAATTAGTTCGCGTTAAAAGATACTCGGCCTGCAGTCTCGCTTGCAAGAAGTGGGCATGCATCAGCATTACGTGTAGAATATAAAGTAAAAAAACTCGTAATCGCTATAAAGATCAGGAGTAATTCGAGAGTGGCTCACTTCAAAGCACAATGCCATGGCCAAAGCTCCGTGGCCCGTGCTGCAGCACCAATAAAGCTTCATGGATTTTGTTTGCTTTCAGGAACAACAGCACGCGCAGAATGTAAAATATACGCTCATACACGTTGTACTGTATTAGGTCAAACGAGAAACATTGTGTTAGTCATACTCCACAAATGAACAATTATCCAGCTTAAAACATGTCCAAATACAAAAGCCATCCATCACGGATGCATATCGGCCCGCATTACAGCACTAGGTGCCATGCTTGAAACCAGTGCATCACCAGATTAGGCCAGATGTAGGTGTGCCCGATCACAGTAGCTGATATTTATGACCCTGTCGCAGACTGGCGTTCACCGCTTCCTGACGATGACGGCTAGGCAGATGACGAGGCAGATGAAGCAGATGACAGAGGAAGAGACGAGCGCGATGACGTGGGGGTGCCAGTGGGTGGTCTCCTCCACGTCCATAGATTTCTCCGGCAGGAGCATCGGAGCGATGGTCGCTGCGGACGCGAGCGGCTGTTGGCATGGCACCAGTGCAACTCACGGGGACCGTCACATCGCGCTATTGCTAGTTTCTTTATAAATTTGTATTTGACCACGCAATTCACGCATGGGTACACAAAACAAATTGCCACCTAAAAGCCAAGCCATGCTTGGACCGCGAGTTGTGATTTTCAGCAAAAATGAAGCGCATAATGTTACACAACTTGTCTAAAGCTTCCGGCTTTGTTGAATGAAATAGACCAACTCGGCGCTTCCAGGTGAAGCAACATCGGCGCGTTATTACCCGCTCGGGGCATAGCTTTTCCAACATAAATTCGGAACAATGAAAGGAAGTGGCGCCCAACTTTGCCCAGATCTAGACAGTTCAATAACTGATCTTGTGTTGCCACTATATAGCATGCATTTTACAATGTCACTTCCCTAAAGCGGTTAAAAATTAGGCCATGGTTTTCAGCAAAAATAGCTCTTAGGGCGCCTCAGAATTAATTCTAAAAAACTACAAACTTGTGAACACCCAATTACAAAAGCTCTGGTATCGCTTATACAGACATACAATACAGAGTTATGATACAATGATAAAAGAGTTTTACACGGGCCCATGCAACTTTAAGATGCCTTTTAGACAATCAGGCAATTCAAACTAGGATTACAAAAGATTATGGTGACCTTGGGTAACCTATGAAGGCCAGATCAAAGGGACAACCAAACCAATTTTTAAGCCGAAAATTTATTTTATAACGGTGGCTATCAACGCTCATTTTGAAGTCCCTGATCACAAAGGCAATGCCATATTTCTTGTGGTAAATTTGCAGAAGTAAGGGGAGGTCACCTAGCTAAAATTATCTTTTAGGCCATTCTTTTCTCAGGTATTTCCTTTTATATAATTAGTTTTTAGAAGTTCTTAACGAAATATCAAAAGGATCTCAACAGCTTGGTAATTTTCACTTTCAAAGGTCAAATGAGGTCACAGACCTGAATGGCGTTGATTTTTTAAGCAGAAAATATATTTTATAACGGTGGACTATCAACGCTCATTTTGAAGTCCCTGATTACAAAGGCAATACGAGATTTTTTATGTTAAGTTTGCAAAAGTCAGGGGAGGTCACCTAGCTAAAATTAGATTTTAGGCAATTCTTTTTTCATGTATTTTCTTTTATATAATTAGTTTTTAGAAGTTCTTAACGAAATATGAAAAGGATCTCAAAAGCTTGGTAATTTTCACTTTCAAAGGCCAGATGAGGTCACAGACCTGAATGGCGTTGACTGACCTTCCGCGTGGAAAATGTATCTAAACTAAGGTTAGTTGAATGAGAGAGTCTGAGTGAACACACAAAACTTTTTTTTACTCTGAAATTGCTTGACGTAAGTTGACCTAAACGTCCTGATCTAGTGATACACAAAGTTGACGTGACTTAGTCCATTTAGACTCCTGCCTAGTTTCACTCTGTGAATTTTGTATGTGGCTCTCACTTTCTGACGTCTCGGGAGTTAAAATAAACTCTCACACAAGCTGACCGTATTCAGCTGACCACCAGGGTGCGTATTAACAGCAGCTAGGTTTTTTCAGCAAGAAACAGACGGCTTACGTCTGCCGCTGTGTGAGCAGAGCGGCCGCATTCCAGTGCTTCTGAAACTCTACATCAATCCAGCCTCATTTGTCTATAACATGTATGTCTACAACCCGCCAAGCAAGACCCATAAAGTAACCGCTTGACGTTCATCAGCGTCATGACAACCTTCACCATATCACCTCTCCTGCCGCAACCAACCAGCTGGGACGCCTCGAGGGCGCCAGCCGCGGCTTCGCTGTCGCCCACCTCCGTCCAGCGTGAGCGTGGCCGGGCCGTGCACCGTCTCCGTGGAACCGGCCTCGCTCTCGGCCCGGGCGCGCAGCTCGTACGCCGTACTGTGCTGCAGCCCGCACAGCTCGGCCAGGTCGTCACTGGGGCCGAACGGGCCGGCCGTCGTCCAGGGCCGGCCGCCGCCCGCCGGCCGCAGCCACAGCGTCACCGACGTGACGTCGCAAGAGGACGACCAGGCGTACAGGCGCACGGTGACACAGCTGGCGTTGGTGGAGACGGCAGTGGCCGGCAGCGGCGGCGGCTCTGCAGGGCGGGCGCGGCCGTGAGGAGCCGAGGCGAAAGGCGCTTCACATGCACCAGGTGAATTCGAGGTGCTGAGTTGATTTCATCGTCTTGTGTTGAGGGCTGGGAAACTATGGTAAAAGCAACGATGAGCAGGTACTCAAATTGACTGTTTAACATCTGTATGCCACCAGACACGCAGTTTATCTAAAGCGTGGACCGAGCAACCTTACAAACCAGTCTCCGGTATAATACACCCCAGTACACTGCGAGCTCAATGTGTTCCTGCACGTGCGGTACTTACTGCCACCCCGTGTTGATATGTATATGCTCTCGCTGCGCGGGCCGCCGCCGAGCGAGTTGTCCGCGGACACTGCCACGGCGTACTGCACACCGCAGAGCAGCCGCTCCAGCACGACCTCCGACCGCAGGTCATACAGGGCCACCTGCTGCTCGGGGCCGGGACCAGCCCGGTACCAAACGTGGAACGCTGCAACGCGGAAATGTCATGAATGCCGATGGGAGCCGATTAAATAAAAAATAAATTATTATATTAATAAAAAACAGCATTGTTTTAAAATCGTTTAAGTCACATCATTGCGAGACGCAAAACGGTGGTAGCTGTCCTCAGGTAAAATGACCATTGCTTTTCCATGATGGCCGTAAATCATGTTATGTGTGCACACCTTGCAATGGTGCGTTGCCGTCATCTTCTATGTGCCATTGGAGACTCAGCTGCGTTCTCGTGGCTTTGAGAACGATGGGTGTCGTCACACGAGGCAGCTGTCGCACCGCCAGCTGCATTGACATTGTGTCGCCGCCGTAGAAGTTCTCCACCGAACATGTCCAGTTTCTCGCGTGTGCGCTGTCCAGAAAACAAACAATAACAGAAAGAAAACAAACCGAACAAAACAACCAGAAGTTGATGGTCTTAGCGTCATTACACCGTCGCAAAAAGCAGCAGATGCCATAATTCCTGTACTAGTTGATGTAAACGAAGAGGTAATCGTGGACCACGCTAACCACGTGTTGACATTTCAGTGCCAGGAGACAAGCAGGGGCATTCGGAAAGTGTCATCGTGTGTTGGTGACCATCACATGACGAGCCCGTTTCCGAATTTACTTCGCAAATACGCGCTACGCTGGTTTTTGCATAACAAAGTACATAAATTAGAGGGTAATGTGGTAGCACACAGGAACGTGCCTAGACAAAAATTCCTCGCACCGTAAGATATCTGATAAAGAGGATACGGCACCGGAGGCCATCAGTAGGAACGAGGGTGAGCTGAAAACACTATTGTACCTGGAGACCTGGTCGATGAAGAGGCTGCCATTCTCGCGCACCAACGCCCCGAGGTCACTCAGAGGTCGGTCTGACGTCCACACCGGTTTGGGAGCGGGCACGCCCAACGAGATACAGTCAACTGTCAACGACCGGCCCCGCTCTGCCCAGATCAGCCTGGAGAGTGACGCTATCCGGGCTGGAACTGCCGACAAACGCCCCAACGTTATGAGTCTGCTGGACCATGGATGGTGCCAGTGCGGGCAAGGTACCTGGAGTGGCATAGCTGCGCTCATTAAGAACTTTCTATTACCACCTACAGTCAATATTGATCCTTATAGGAACGACCACTAACCAGTCGTGAGCGATCAGCACTTTCCACTTTTCCGCGATATTTTTTCTGCACCATTTTTGCACCATTTGACATTGCCCAGCGCGCCCGAGATGCTGGTGGCGACTCACTATTGTCGTGCGCCTTGTAGACTAGCGTACGCGTGGGTGCGCCCTCGCCGGCGGCGGTGAGAGCGCTCACCCACACCTCGTACCGCTGGTAGTGGTCCAGACGCTCCAGCGCCAGCATCAAACGCCGCTCGGGCGAGCACTCGAACCGTCTCTGCCGGCGGGGCCGCTGTCAGACCGGCGGCGGCGGCAGCGGCGGCGGCGGCGAGCTGTCGCGCGCGCAGAACAGTTGCATCCGCCGCACGGGTCTGCTGGTCGCCGGCCGCCGACCGATAAACCCGGTGGGCGTCGCCGCCCTTCGCGACGGAAGAAATAAGCGATCCGTTTTTATGCGGCGCCGTCGCGCCCGCAAACACCGCCGTGAAAAACCCGCGTGGTGCGCAAGCTGAAACTTCTGACAATATTTACAGCATGGATGCCTGAAACTTCGAGAAAAATGCAGATGCGAAGTTTAGTCTCCAGCCAGCAGATCGACATATTGCAGTTAAATGTTTCAGTTGAAGGGAAAAGTGGCTCGTCATGTCGTCAAGTCGTCATCATGGTGATAACCCCGAGGGGCACACGGATATATTTGTGTTACATGTTTCATCAAGAGTTTGACCCTCTTCTTCGATATCAGAACAAAACTTATTTGGACCCTGTCGAGTCCTTTGCGAGGCGCTTGTCTATGAAAATTCCCTCACTGCCAGATTACAGGTCAACTAAACGCTTGTAAACGCATCTAAATAAAGGTCGGCCTTGGCTTTGTTGATGGGCGAAGCGCTAGCAACAATTGAAAGTGTCTTCATTTGTGCCTACCGTACATGTACGTTAAGCAGCTATTTCGAAAATTCGAAAGCCTTCGAGTTTAACCAAATGTAGATTTTCCTTTTGTTACAGGATGTAGATGCATGTGGGTCGTCCATAGCTCCTCAGATGTTAAGACGATTTTATAATATTCACACATGCGTAACGTTCGTCAATCTACAAGCAAAGCAGCCTGCGCTGTGCCGGCGTAATCAGCACGTGTGAGCGCATACCAGGACACTACAAATCATACCAGAACAAATCGGCGGAACAACGGTGGCGCTAAACCAGCGGAGTCGGGTGATGGATGAGAGGGCTGCCTGAGGGTGCCTCACCTGCGGGATCGGGTGATGGATGACAAGGTCACCTGAGGGCGCTTCACCTGCGGAATCCGTGATGGATGACAGGGTTAACCGAAGGCGCCTCGCCTACGGGGTCGGGTGATGGGAGCCAGGGTCACCTGAGGGCGCCTCATCAGCGAAGTCGGGTGGTGGGTGACAGGCTCACCTGGGGGCGCCTCACCTGGTCATTGGTGACGTACTTCCTCTGGTAGACGAAGTAGCGGGTGACAAGTCCTCGCGGCTTCCGGGGCGGTAGCCAGGAGACCAGCATGGATGTGGCGGAGAGCGAGACCAACTTGATGCCGGCCGGTGGACCTGGCACTGCGGGTGGTGGGCCGCGGTGGTCAGGAAGCGAGTCTTTATGACGAGAAGTCGGGAAAACAGCGATGAACGCCCGGTAGGTGATTTTCTGAGCAGCACCCACCGCACAGAAAATTGCAATCCATGAATTTTTAGGAGACAGGCCGTGAGGCTCAGCAGCGCGCTAAGGTATCGAGGATCTTTGACGGCGGTGCGGCATCGATTCTTCACCTGAGCAAATCAGCATCAATCATCCCCATCACGGTTGGTTGGCCTATTTGTTATATTGACAGGAAATGGTATGATTGTGAATGCCTAGGGTGTGGAAGATCAATACACTGTCGTTAATTTCAAAACCCACCGCACTCATCAATAGACCATGTCAACCTGCAAACAAAAATCATGAATCCTGTCCTAGTGCATGGTTGTATCATGGACTAATACCAGCACTAAGAGAACAATAGCTTGAAAAGCTGTCCGTCTAAAAATGCCATGAATTTCCAAAGCATGTTAAAATGTCATAACTTAATAAATCTGCCGCACACTTTGGACGAGCTACATCGAAGACGGCTGACAGCTGCGAACAGAGCAGTCCTGTAACTGGCCACCGGGCCGCGCCCCACCTGCCCGCCGGCACTGACCGTCAGCGGCCGTGACGCAGGTGACCGGGGCGCTGTCGGGCCCCTGGCCGACCACCGTGACCACCGACACCAGCGCTGTGTAGTTTGTGAACGCCGAGAGGTTCCGCAGCGTCAGTGTGGTGCCCTCCTCCTGCTGGACGCGCACTGCGTCTCCTGCCGGTGTCGCGAGGACCGACATCAGGGGCAGATGAAGCAGCGTGGGCGGGACGCCGCCCATGTCATAGCGCGGTGGCTTGGTGCCTCTATCGTTTCTATTATATTATCTAGTCAATTGATTACTGATCTATGGTGCAAATTACCTACCGTATCAAACAGGCTGAACATTATTCACAACCGCTAATTCCTACCGATGACACAGCATTTGGAATGTAGCTACTGTCGCTAATTTCAGTACACATCGCATAACACCCTTAAACCGCAGTAACGGTGCAGCCAGCTTTTCACAAACAACACAACCACTGGTGCTTTTCACTTCAAGTAATTCCAGCGCATTTACCAGCCATTAGGATGCTTTGGTGCCTGTACCTGCTCTGAGTACAGTGCGGCGCCAGGTCAAGCGGTACCCTCGTACGCGACCTCCTGCCTCCCGGTCAGTGACACGCTGCCAGGAAACACGGACGTCGGTGGCCGACAGCGTCTCGCAGCGCACGTCCGTGGGCGGATGGTCAGGAACTGCGGCGGCGTGGAATTGGAACCAGCTTTAATGGGGGATTGGCGTCACGATTTTGTCGATTACGGCTCGTGGCCAACCAATCGCCCATGTTGCAGCTGCGTGTGCGATTACGGCTCGTATGTGTGAGCCTACAGCCCATATCTCTCCCAAGCCTCTCTCACCTGCAGCTGCGTGGCTTGTCCTCATTGTCCTCTCTCTCCCCTTCCTCTTTCTCTCTTCCTTTCCTCTCCTGGCTCCCTCCCTCCCTCTCCTCCCCATACCCTCTCCCTCCTGCTCTCTCATCGACTCACTCTCTCTCTCTCTCTCTCTCTCTCTCTCTCTCTCTCTCTCTCTCTCTCTCTCTCTCTCTCTCTCTCTCTCCTCTCTCTCTCTCTCTCTCTCTCTCTCTCCTGCCCTCGCGCTCTCGATCTCTTTTTATCCTTTCCTTCTCACTCTAGCTGGGGTGACTCTAGCTCTGGCCCTAGTTCCGGCTCCAGCTGTGGCTCTGGGTCTGTCTTTGGCCCTGGGTCTCGCTCAGGCTCTCCCTCTCATTCCCGCCCATAACTTAGCTTCCACAAAACGCAATCACAAGAACAAAAAAAGAACAGCTGCGATAGCTTCAGAACGCGTTTAGCGGCCGTGCCCCGAGGAAAGTTTAAGTGCACTTACCATCCTCCCACGTGGACGCCGTGGCCGGGGAACTCGACGGCCCGTCTCCGGCCAGGTTGTACGCTCGCACTGTGGCCGAGTAGGCGGTGGCAGGTCGCAGGTAGCGGAGCGACACGACAAGCTCGGGACGTCGCACCACCCTGGTCGCAGAAAATGGCCAAAACGACGTGTCGGCGATCAAATTAGGGATTGTGTTTTTCATTCACGCAAGTAATTCACATTGAGCAACTGCTTTCGGCAGGGTTAATGTCAAATACTTGGTTCGCAACCAGCAAGCTGTCATAAAACAGATTACTGCTCCCAAGTAACGTAAGGTTTCTCCAAAGTAGAGTTTTCGCCGTCACGGTCATAACTGTGTCAGGAAGGATGCTACAAATCAGCCTCTTTAAGAGACCATTGAGGGCTCCATGACCATCCCACGTTTCCGCAAAAGACCCCGCTTAGGCCGTGCGATTGTCCTATTACTGACTACGAGTGGGCTCATCCTATGGCTAAGAGCAATATATCGCCGTCTTTTGCCCTGGTCTGGAGGAAATGTTCGCTGTTCCAAAAGGCTATCATTTCGTTGCACCCAGCAGGTCTACAAAATAGACTAGCAAAACGTCAATGGGTAACAATCATTACAGCGTGCTCCTTACGCTACTCAGTTGTTCGGAATATATTTTTATTGGGATTTCAAACATGTCAGTACCATCTGAACTGACACAGATTCCCAACAAGAACATGACACCTGAATTCCAGAAGTTATTGCGACTAGGTTTATTTCGGGCACCACGGGTAGCCAGTTGTAACGACGTAATGACGTTGGATGGTGAAACCGGCACAGTTGTTGAAAGTATGTGAATTTTCGAATGCGATCAGTTTCGCTTTTACCCAACAAGGCAAATACATTTAAATCACTGCTCCTTGTTTAGGACGAACTTTCCCCACATTAGATTAATCAAACCTCGCATTAAGGACTTTATTCAGATATCACACCCTATCTGAAGAGCAGTTTAACGCCATGGCTGTGTACCGTTATGCCGTTTAACTTACCTTGTTGTGACTGTTTTATCCGTGTGACAAACGTAGTTAATCTTGTACCCATAAAGTCTCCCATTGGTGAGAGATTGGGGTGGTGGCTAGAAAACCAGACAGACGCAAGTAAAATTGCGTGGCAAGTTTGCTGCCATTCACAGCGCATTTGGCCTAGTTTTTGTAAAAAAATACACAACGTCTGAAATAAGTGAAAAGAAGACTGCTTCCGGTTAAAGCCAATACGACGACCGTGTCGCAACATTTTGCTCATGTCCTTCGGCCATTTTTCACGGTCTTTCAGTCGTTCAACTGAGTCGTGAGGGACACGAGCTCCCGAGGGGCACCGCGACACGTTGTTACAAATGGCAGGCGCGCGCCAGCCGCCCCGTCGGCTTCCTGCGAATGTGGTTACGGGTGGCCCTTCGGGATCTGAAGCACACCTCCTCCAGGGAAGGTGTCAAGGGGCGGCGGCCGCGGCTGGCGCGCACTAATTGGTGGCGTGTGCGTGCTTCCAACAAGATAGACCAGGACTCGCGGCCGCCGCCGGGGGGATTAAAGGAAGAGAATGTTCTGGAGCAGGACGGCATGCAGATTTGGCGGTGGCGTACCGGAATGGGGAGCCGTGAGCTGCTGGCGGTCACAGTGATCATATTGGTTGGTATGGGTGTGGCGGTGACAGGAGCCATCCGTTTTGTCCGTCTTTGTCGTGGTCGACGTGGGAATCTCTCCTTCACCGCACGTCTTAAAGGGCAATGCAGGTAATTTAGGTGCGAGAGCACACGCTTGTTTTAATGACTTGTTCCCTACTTGGTATCCAGGCGACGCCGGCGACTCAGGTGTTACCATTCCGGAAGTTGGTTAATTGAATTCTGCAGCTGGAAGCGATGAATGCTCGCGACAAAGCTATAGTCTTCCTTTCATTACAGGAAAGTAACACTACTCCACTGGTTCCAATTTAACGACATCACGCGATTTGACGCGCAGCCACGCATCACACTTCATCGCGGTTGAGCAGTGCGCTTCAATGAATGATCGAGTCACCCTGCACTCCGCGACGCCTCACGAGTCGCATCAGGAAGTCAGCACCGAGCCGCATCGGCAAGGCAACACCGCTGCCAGACCGATCCCAGATGACCTGGATGTCCACTCACGTGCCCCTGGTGACAGCCAAACTCCGAGACACAGCTGGTGTTCCCAGTCTCATGCGCTCGACCCAGCCTGGTTTGAGCGACTCGCGCGTTTCCACAGGGCAGAGGTTATTCCCGTGCGCATTTCTCCGCCCACGCTCGCTGTTCCCTTTTACGCACGCTCTAGACTAACGTGATGGCGCGCGTCCAGAGCGACCGCCGTGCTACAGCTACGTTCCAGACCGGTGCGAGGGTGCTCGAAACGCCGCACGCTCCATACCAACCACTGGCATGTACGGCCCCAGTAACAGACTGAAGTTGCTCGTAGAGTCCTTCCAGGCGAGTCTGAGGGTGTCCGGTCCCAGCAGCCGCCTGGCTTTTAGTGGGCGATCCCCGAAAAGCTCGCCCCAGGCCAGCCTAAGATCGCGCGGCCAATCGACAGCAGGAGTTCCCCGTTACGTACTCTCCAGGTCAGCCGGAGTGTGTGAGGCCCCACCGGCCGCAGGCGCACGTTGAGTGGAGGGCCGGCGGGCGGTTCCGGCTCGGTGTGGGCCAACAGTGCGGCGCTGGGTCGGCTGTTGCCCAGCCGGTTGACGGCGAACGCCCGCAGGCGGTAGGTGGTGCTGGGCTGAAGGCCGGCTACCAGCGCACTTCGCTGCCGGCCCGATACGGTCTCGTTGACGCCGAACTGAAAATGGGGTTCGCGCGATTCGTGAAACATTGCTGCAGTGAAGAATGGATGCGTCGTATGGTCACTCACTAGAACGGCATGCAACAAAGTGAAACGATTAAAAGAACTTTGCAAACACAGACTCAATCTTGCACCTTGAAAACGTGACGTTCCCAGCGAATGGTCGGTCACTAACGGCGTGGCAAACACATAACGTCATGTAGCCTTTCTCACAAAGAGTTGTTACAAATAGCTTGTGTTTGTAAGTTGTAATTTAGAATTTTCAAACTACAACTTACAACTGTTTCATAAAACTAGCGCGGGTTGTAGAACTGTAGTTGTAAAACTCTGCGCCATGTGTAATTTGTCGCCGCCAATCACCGGCCTTGCCAAGGACGTATAAGAAGTGCGCCTGACCGGCTTTTTAGCAGCCCATACGCCCAACGTTGACGTGACGTCACTGGAGTCTTGATAGAGCGAGGGCAGCGCATAGCCTCGCGCGATGCACATTACGATCTGGATATTTGCGTTTCCGTTGGCCACAGCTGCATTGCATGCCAATTTTGCTGGGAAAAGCCACCCTTTCTTCCTTCTGTCCCTAAAAATGCGTTGCGCTATCAAACGAAAGTTCGGTGTAAATTCAGTAAACCTAACCTAAATTACATCGCTCATACGTAGCGGGACGTTGGTGACAATGCATGCGGTCAGGCCCAGGCAGTCGGGCTCGCCGTTCTCGCTGTCCCCGCTCCTTCCAGCGCCGGTTTCTGTGTAACCCATGTGCACGTGCCCAGGGTCGCACCCAGCATCCTGGTGGAGCATGAGTGACACAGAGCTTGATGTAAGGCCTCTGGTGAAAGTTCCTAAGTTTTGAGCGGACCCCAAAGTTTCCTTTTCTTTCGTTTCTGTTTTTATCCACTTATTCCGACGGGCGTGTTCATGAGGGGGCTATGGAATGGACACTGACAACACATACTTGTTTGGCTCAGGCGGCGCCGTCAGTAAAACACTGGGAGCCACATAATACCTATGGCGCGACATTCTGGTGACACGGGCGTCGCGCCTCATGATCGGTTCGGAGGCCCTCTGAGGGAACACTGATCTCCTTTATGGCGCCGGCCGTCCTCTGACGGGAGCAGTTATTGCGACTCGGAGTAGAGGCTTTCAGTGACGCACAATAATTTCTTGCAGGTACAAGGGGTCTACTAAATGACACAGGGATCACTTTTAACAAAGTCAGTCTCCTGGGCAAAGCGGAGCAAGGTCGTTTGTTGGTTATTGGGCCCACTGTCTGATACATAACCACTCCATTGTGTCAAGCAATGCTTGCCCTATTATTGCCCTATTTCCCATCTCCCTTTACTGTCGGGGGTCCCAACAATGCAAGAGGCCCGCTGACATTCCAGGTCCCGTCGCCGTCCTTTCCTAGAAAACGGGTTCGCTGCCGACTTGGATTCCCTTGCTGACACAGGATCCCTTGTCAGGCGCTGTAGCCCCATGATAAGACAAAGTGCCTCTTTTTCATCTGTGCTTAGCTAGCCTCCGCGCCCACTTGACATTAGTTCGTTCCAACAGCAGGTGTGCAATCGATATTTTCTTAAGAGGGTGGGAGCATACCTCGGCGATAACGCATCACGCCAATTTTATTTTTTTTAAGAGCGCTGTGGTAAAGGTGAAGACGTGGACAGAATGGAACACCCCTTGACTGCTCCTCCAAAACAACCAAACAGCAGCGACAGCAGGGTTTGAATACTAAAATATTGTGGCCAGGAGTCGGTTTGCTCCCTTTGTGAGTTTGTGAGGGCCCTCGTTTGACACCCGTCTACCATATTTAGTTGCCCCTCCCCCTTCACAAATGTTTTGACCCCAATGCTACAAAATGTCCGGAAAATATAAATATCACAGGGACATTCTTCAGACATGACCTGCGGTTATGACCGTTCTACTAAAATAAAGGACTATTGCGGGCCACCAACTTGAAAAAAACTACCGTACATTAAAATAAAGTGGCCTAAGAGCCGGTAAAAATTATTTAGGGCGAGGTCAGGTTCACTGTTCCTCACAAGGGCGTAATGTCGCTGAATAACTTGTTTGGGAGTGCGGAAAATGGCTCACCCTGTCACAAAATATGCATTTCACCTGGGTCCTGGGCTTATCCCCAATCACTTAGAAAAGGTAACGCCCCCGCTTGCAGAATAGAAACACTAACCGAACCAGTACGACTTTGCTTGATACTTCTAATCAAAGTTTGAAGGACTATTAATGGCCTTGCCTCCAATCACTTTGAATGCTGCATCTACCCTACGTTTCCGCTACGCCACGGCAATGGAGACAGCAGCGGCGGGGGCCAACGACACAGGGCACCAGTGACGTCATTGCCCTGTCCTGAGTCACACGGGATTCCACCAATAGGAAATTCAATGATGCTCCCCTCCCCCCTGTTTCACCCGCCAGCTGACACTGCCCATGTCGGACGAGCGCAGAAAAAACAAATGATGCTATGGATCATCATACATACCGCGGTTTGTAAACAGAAACAAAAGAAATGTATCGAAAGTGTCAAAGAACAGAACATTATGTTCCCCAATACCAGCACCCAAGTGCATTTGTCATTGTATTCACCGTGCGTCTTACAGTTTTAAGCAGAAGTCAACACACATAATATTGGCACTGTCATGGCAACCAGCGAAGCAGTGACTCAGTGAACCAGGATAATACTAGTGTTCTGTTACCATGATAGACACCTATATTCTACTCTTATACATGGGATTCATGCGTCGTTCACAACCAGCGATAGCTGTCCCTATTTGGCGTTAAGGTGGGTGTCGTCGCATGCCCGAAGTTTGATAGGATGAGTATACCTGCTTTCGCTTGCATGAGGAGAAACTACACTTAAAATTAAGACATTTCATAATCTATTGGTACAGCCATTTCATCCTGGCAGTGACTTAGATGCTAGCAGACCTACTCACAGAAAATGATCACCTTGGTATCCTTACCCCCCCCCCCCCCCCCAGCCCATTAACGCGCGAGCACAGGACGACGCAGGATTTCGATCGGATCGGTGCGGCTACCAAGGTCACTTATAGTGATGGATAATAGCGCAAAGGAATGAGTTTGCTGCACGCTTGGTTGCACGGGCCACGCGCGGTGTTAGAGATGATGAAACCCGTCAACACCATCGCTGGGTTGCTTCCTCTGAGCGTTGTGTTCTGCGAGCTTGTTTGTCCTTCCGCTTCCTCTGAGTACTTGTTTATTTTGCCCAGGGGGATTCTTGCGAGCCTCCTTCCTCTGCGAGCTTTGCGTCCGCAATCCATTTTTGCTACTGGCTTTGCCTTAAGCTTACAATCACCTATTCTACAACGGGATAGGCCATCGTTGATTTGTAGTTGTAATTTGTACTTTCAATCTTACAAATGCACCGCGGCTGGAAAATCAGCTGGCCTTTATGAAACATGCCAAGGTATGGTTGTAGAAATTCTCGAGAGATTTGTCAATTTTTGTGTGTGGTTTTGTAGAATTGTAATTTGTAGTTGTCATTTGTAGGTTTCTGCTTCATGAAACACATTTTTACAACTACACATACAAATTTACGAACTACAATACAAATGTACAAAAAACTGCCTTTGTGAGAAAGGCTACTGGTGGCTTACACTGGCGATCGGTCTTGGCAGCCAATTGACACACCGTAGTCGTTGAGGTTTAAAAAATTCGTGATGGTGTGCGCTGCGTCCTTTTAGAAATAAAAATGCTAGTAACAAGTAAGCAATCACAAACGACCGGTTTCCAGAAGGCGCATGACGACAGAGTATGGTTTAACTTGAATGCAAAAGCGAAGTAAAGCTGGTCTGATTTGTAAAGACGCATATAAGACATTCCCGACACAAGAGTGTCCTGGCCCTACAAACCCTACATCGGCCGGGCAGACGGCAGACGGAGGAGTTCAGTAGAACGGCGGGCCGAACGTAGCGCGAAACTCAAATTTACGCGCCACTTCCAGCCAGCATACCAGTGTTTGTGGCGCTCAAATTGAGAGACATGGCCACGAGTGGTAAAAATTTGCTGCGAATAAAATGAACTGCACAATGCCCAACACGGAGGAAAACACTGCATCGAACGCTGGCCTTGACGTGAAACTTCAAAGGTAACAGCGTGGACATGTCAATGGGGCGCGAATCACATATCTGCTCACATTTGTCTCAGTGCCATACTGAGCTACAGCCACCCGCCCAGCTAAGCTTAGCTCAGCCCCAACGACTGAACTACTGCAATGGCGCAGGTCGAGCGACTGAGGTACTGTAACGGCGCAGGTCGAGCGACTGAGGTACAGCAACGGCGTAGGTCGAGCACGAATGGAAACTTTCCGTCGCCACCCGCCCGAACGAGGGTCAGTACTGCAGCCCTGCTCTCAGTGCTCATTAGGACTTGCTCTATGGAAGCAACTTGACGGTGTACGTAATCAATTTTAACACAAGTTCGAGAGGTCTTCACGAGTCTAGATCCCCACAGCAGATGAGGACTTCCGATGCTCGCGCTTGTTGCCGGAGAAAGTTGGGACAATTGGTAGGCCAAATCCTCGAGATGGACGTTGAATGATTCGGGAGACGATAAATGAGTTGTTTCGCTGCCAAGTAGTTTAGGCCCTGCGTTTGGTCGCGCATCCTTGAACACCCCTTTCATCGTTTTGCTGAGTAAATTCAAGCTTGATGGGATAAGCACAGCTAGAGGTAAGTTCAGTATTAGTCAAAATGACTGTATATACGTGCACATTGTGGTAATAGTCGAATTCTTACAAAAAACTACCAACAGGGTTATTAATAGCTTTAAGCAGCGGCTTTTTCCATGGGCTGTACTCGCTGCGTCATCTTGGGGTCAACGACTTTTTCTCTGACTGATGTTATAGCCGACTTGGTTGGCTTCATCTCAAACAATCAGTCAGCCGTGTAACTTACTTCATTTATGCGGCTGAGTCGTGTCCGCACATGTATATCGTGGCCGAGGGTTCCCTTTTTTACTCCCTACTATATTAGGTGTTAAATCGGATAACTAAATGATTCACCAATACGATATATCCGTGGTCTGATGATGATCGTGCTTTGACGTGATCAGTCAACTATTGTCAAGGACTCGTCGATCCGCTGTTTACGTTGCATATCCACGTGATAGTCACACTCCCACGACTTTACATATCCACGTGATAGTGTTCACACTCCCACGACGCGCATCACATTGGGTGCGGCGATACCCGTCCCACAGATATGTACAGCGAGTGGGGGACCACTCGGTGGTGCCCTGCTTTCAGAAACATTATATGGGTTTAGGTTGTACTGGGACCAGTCCGTGGGACCCTGCAATCACGATTATCATACTGAGGTATCGCAAAACTTTCAGAGGAGCTCCAGACTGACTGTTTATCACGCAACGAGGTACATACGAAGGTCAGGTGATGGAGCAAATAACCAAAGCAGCTGATGCACCCCTAAAACTCGATAACAACTAACTATTCCACTAACTAACCAGGCCAGGTGGAGTGTGATGGGTACTGCCCCGGCAAGCATGACCGGGGGCAAGCGAAGAGCCAATACGACGCCCCCCCCCCCCCCCCCCCCCCAATTCTGGACATAAACCAGGCGGCACGTCCAGACGATAGAGCGCTCGTATTGCTGATCATTCGAGTTACTGCCACCGCAGGCCGCTTTCGATGCTCCCATCAGGCGGCCGGGCGCCGGCGATCTTGGGGAAGCACATTCTCAAGTGGATTAAACTCTAAGCGTTACCTTGCAGACCAACTCAAGCGTTACCTTCCAGACAAAGCCGTCCTGGAGCGCGTCGGCTCCAGCGCCACGCGTGGCCTCGGACGCCGCGGTCGTCCAGGTGACGGCCTCCTCGGCCGCGTACTGCACCACGTAGTGAGTCAGCGCGCTGTTGCCGTCGTAGGGCGGCGTCCACGTCACCAGCGCCGACCGAGAAGTCACCGACACAAGCTCCAGGCTCTCCGGAGGCTCCGGCCGCTCTGCAAGGGTTAAGTTGACGACGCTACACATGGACATACCAGAGCGCGTAAGTTTATGAACAAAAGATGGAGTAAGATGTCGTATGTGCCAGAGCGCGTAGGTTTGTAAACAAAGGTGGAGTCAGATGTAGCAAAAATAAACGCTGCTATACCTTTCACAAATGAAATGACGTGAACTCGCAACATTTGCCCAGAATTAGACCTTCGCAGTGCATGACAACCGTTACACCGCCCGATCCACTTGATCCACATCCAACCCCCTCCCTCCGCAACTCAACAATCGACTGTTCCTTTCCGTGTCATCCCTCACCGGTTACTAGCACGTGCCACGTGGTGCTGTCCTCGCCGTAACGATTGCGCGCCACGCAGGTGTACGGGCCGCCGTCGGCGCGGCCGGCGGCGGACACGCTCAGAGTGCCGGGGTCGGGGCCAGCTGGGGTCACCACCAGGTGGCCGCGCCGGTACCAGCTGAGCTGCAGCGGTCGGTCGCCGGCCGGCACACAGCTCAGCCGCAGGGCCGAGCCCACCACCAGCGTGACGTTCCGCTGCCGCTGGGCGAACTGGGCCGGCACTGCAGTACGAGCGGAGTCAGGGCGTGCGTCAGGGGGGGGGGGGGAGGGAGGGGGGCAGGCGGTTAGAGTAACGTGCTCGTTGGATTTCGGCATGCTTAACTGGTCAAAAATTTACACCAGTGCAAGGGAACAAGGCACATCATCAGTAACAGCCTCTGTTCGTTTCATGATCCTGAAGCTACAAACGTATGCCATGCATCGCCCTTCACTGAACATACATCTGTTGCGCCCGAAGAACTACTCCTCCACACCAGTGCCCAATCGCTCCCACCCCACCTCCGCTGAGACGACACGGCGCACCTGTGACGGTGAGCCGGGCGGACCGACGCAGCGGCGGGCCTACGCCGTTGGTCGCCAGGCACGCGTAGCTGCCGGTGTCGTTCTCGACGACCCGTCGGATGTCGAGAGAGCCGTCGGCGCCGACGCTGAGGCGGCCGTCGGACGTGTTGCGGAGAGACGCCGGCGGCCGGTCGGCTGCAGAACGGCCAGGCGCGTGACGTGCGGCGCCGGCAGCCTTCCATTTCTGGATGCGTGCTTCAGTAAGCGCGCGTCACTTACGAATGCGAGTTCCATTCCCTGCACTGCATTGCAAGCAACGAGCCACGCGAACAATATGCACCGAACGGTACAGGTGCCACCGTGAAGTTGAATGTTTCATTAGATTAAAGAGTGGTAGCGTTCAGCCTCGACCACAATCGATTGTGGTCAGCTCCGACAGCATGCCATGACGTCAAACGTGATCTCACCGGCGGCCAGCGTCCAGGTGACCGTGGGCGGAGGCTGGCCAGTCACTGAACAGTTCAATGTGACATCACTGCCGAGCACGGCGACAGAATCGGAGAACGCGCCCAGCCATCGGGCCGGCACTGCGGGCGGGAAGGCAGGCCAGACGTTTGTGACTGGATTGTGGAATGTACGTACGTTTTGTTACATTTAGCAGAGGCATTTAGCCACTTGAGATGGGTATGCGCATTTGTTCGCTCACACAGACCAGCATCAATAGATCAACAAGCGAAAATTAAGTATCTATAACCACCGCTTGCGTGCCGATAGGGTGCCAAGATGCCGATGGTGTGGCGGTTAACGCGTCTGCGTAATCTGTGTCCTCGCCTTGGAAACCAGAGCCACGGAGCTTGGTTCCCCGCGGTGTCCGCCCTCCCGGCCAGGGTGAGAGGCACGCGACGTCATGTAGCCTTAGCATCTGAATGCGTTGCAAAACCCCAATGAAAATAACAACAAACCACCGCTTTGCTGGACAAGCGCACGTCACGTTCAACGATTCTCCGGTCAACACCCTGCATCAGCATCTCGCAGACAGATACAGAAAGCTTGATGTTCCCGTTGCAACGGATCGCATCTTCCAGTCCGTTTTGCGGCGTCCGTTTGCTGGCTATTGGTTCGCCGCCGCTGTTATTCTCGTCAGGGAGTTTTCTCAGTCGGCGTTTCAGTCCGAACGTTAGCAGGCCAGTCTATCGGTCCGCCAAGAGCAGACTCCCGCCTCACATGTACCCCGCTCGGGATCCTCTGAACTGTGTGCTGCCCGCTGCCCACCCAATTGGATCCATCCAGAGGCCCCGCGACACCGGCGACCCGCGGCCCAGCCTTCCCCGGCCTCCGCCCGTGCGCCCGCTGGCCAGCAATCAAGACGAATTTACCGGCGTGCAGTCATGCGGCAAGTTCACTCGTAAATCCGTCGAGCCGTCTCCCGCGCCCCACCAAGTACATATACCGAGGCTGCACGCGCGCCGAATCACCGGCACAATGCTGCGAGTGTCGTTCCAGGTAGCCGTGGAAGCGCGGACGGCAGTAGCGCCGGCTCGGACATTGCGCTGGACAACAGTAGACGGCTGTACACAGGGCGGCGCCACGGATTTTGAATCGGGGGGCATGATTTTCCAGAGCGTCTGCTGGATAGAACGGGGGTTCCTCACAGGGAGGCCTCCTGAGCAGCGTCGTATTCAAGGGAGGCACCGGAGACATGTGCCCTTATATGACATCGTGACGTGTATCACATCCATATAAATCGATGTCGATCAGTACAAAACTCAGCTTATGGACATTCGGATCAATGCAGTAGTCTTTCCATGCAACGGAAGGTCTCCCTATGTATAAAACAGGGCCTACTGTTCCAGAAAAGTACACTGACATATCCGAAGAACACGTAATACGCGAACGGTATTACGGGCCATACCTGGACAGCCCATGCCCACGTGTTCGACTCGCCGCTCCTCGACAGGCAACCCACCTCGCACGACAAGCCGGGCCGAGGACTGCACCGCTGCCGCCCTGTTGGTGGCGCGACAGGTGTACACGCCGGCCTGCTCCCAGCGCAGGTGCTTGAACACCAGGTTGCTGTAGAACTCGCCGCTGAGCGTCTCTACGTGCGGGCTGTCCGGCGCCAGCGTGACGTTGTTCTTAAGCCAAGCGATGTCGATGGGCAAGTCGCCAGAGGTGATGAGGCACGAGGCCTGCGTGCGCTGGCCGACGGTCAGCTCCTCCGGGAAGCCGAACGGCGAGATCTGAGGCGGCTCTGAAGGCCGGAGAGACGCGGAGGGTGGAGCGGAGTGGCTGCCTCCGGCACGGAACCATCGACAGGGGGCAGGGGTGAGGTAAGGTGACTGCAAGGGTCGAGAACGTAGATAAATGGCGATAAGCTGTGCTGGCTGAAACTCTAAGACGCGCCCGGGTGGCCGGTTGAGTGCCCTTCGCTCGGGTGCGGTGGTTGGGGGCAATTCGACACCCCCTGAGAAACTGAGGGAGCTAGAGACACTAAAATCACAGGGTGTATTGGCCTGTATGTGAACTCATGCTGGTCAAAATGTGAGATTCCTAGGTTATTACCCTCGGCTCAAATCAAGCAAGGTCAAGCTCCCGATCAGTGTGCAAAGTGCCCCCGTACCTGGATACCTGTTCTAAGAACAAAGTCACTGGTGCTTAGACTGCTTTGCGTTTTGCAGTTGAATAAGCATCAAAGATTACCCTAGGCAGTATGTTCCTAACAATAAGATGTTGACCTGGGCTCTTTGAGATCAGTGTCTTATTCTGACCTCGAAGAAATTCATGGAAGACGCATAATGCGGTTCCTGTTATCAATAAATTCAAAATAAGCACCAGAAATTATCCTACGCAATCATGCTATACCGTGCTAAAGCGGGCCGGTTTTGATCTTGGTCTGTCCTTCATACCTCACCCTAGCTTAAAACGCGTCCAGGTGACCGGTTGGATACTCTTCGCTTGGGTGGAGGTCAGTTTCACCTCGCTGAGATCTTAGGAACTAAGAAAGCTAGGGACACCAAATTCACAGAGTGTATTGACCTGTACGTGAACTCACTCAGGTCAAAGTTTGATATTGCTAGGTCGTGACCTTTAAGTCAAATAAGGTCAAACAACGTCAAATTACAGGTTAGTCTCTAAAAGGCTCCTAGAACCCAGATAACCGTTCTGAGCAAGAGGTCACACACTCATTTAAGGTCCATGATCTTGTTTGACCTTTTCATGGTCATGGTGACCAAAATAATACAAGACTGCTTTGAGTTTTACATTTGAATATGCGATAAAGATTACGCTTGGCAGTGTGTTCTTAAAAAACGTTGACCTGGGTCATTTTAGGTCAGTGACCTAATCTGACCTTTAATAAGTCCATAGAAGGTGTGCAATGCGATTTCTGTCATCAAGAAATTCCACATGAGCACACAAAACTATCCCATACAGCAAGGCCTGAAGAAATGAAGCAGGTTGGTTTTGACCTTGGTTTGATCTTCATGACTGACCCTAGGCCATTATAAGTTGTTCATTCAGTTGTTGTGTTGCCTAAGGAGGCATCTCAGAGATGTGTGGCTTCGTCTAACACTTCGTTGTTGGATCAGATTGAACAATACCCTAGAAATTGCCTTAGGTAAAATCATGGCCTGAAACCATGGCTTGACTTTGACTTGTCATAGGTCAGCGACCTTACAAGGTACATTTAAATTATTGATGCTAAGCGATCCGCTATTCAATTTTCTACCGTTTCGAAAAAAATTGAAACGTAAATTGTCTGGAAACCATTTTGAAAAAACTTAGGAGGGTGGGGGGGGGGGGGGCAATTTGACCCCCGCCCGAGCGCGTGTTAATGAAACTAGTCCATTCAATTGTTGTATTACCTAAGAAGCCCTCTCAGAGATTCATAACTTCATCTAACTCTCCGTAGTTACATCAGATTGAACGATTCCTTAGAAATTATATTTGCTGAATCCATGATCTGAATTTGGCCTGCTGTAGGTCAGCGACCTCTCAAGGTGCATCCCAATTTATGATAGCAAATGATACGCGATTCAATTTTCTACAGCGATGTTTAAGTTGACGTGGCTGCGCCGCTCCGTTCGGAAACCATTCCGGAAAAACCTTCCCGGGGGGGGGGGGGGGCAATTGGCCCCCGCCCACTCGAGCGCATGTTAATATGGATTTGACTGGCAAGGATGCTCGAAATTCGGTTCACAAAATCTGCCTTTTGTTCTTTTTGCGGCATTGCTTAAAAGCTTGAGCTTGGAAACAATACCAATTGGACAAACATGCACTGCTTAATACATTGGCCACACCTACCACCCAAATAAGATATATCGAATCAATCATCGTAATTCCACATTATTCGGGTCATCAACGACCACAATTAGATATGCAAATGTCACAGCTTACTACGATTAGGTTTTCTTCTCCGCGAAGTCCCATCCCCGCTCCCCGTCCCCAGAGGGCCGCGGTCACAAGAGGAGGGCGCCAGAACGACACCGCCGCCTTACCGACGACTACGACGTCGACATATCCGGTTACGTGGCGCCCGTCGCCGTCAGTGGCGCGGCAGCTGTAGCGGCCGGTAGCGAGGCCCGGCGCCGCCCCCGCTGCCAGCCGGCCGTCGGGTAGCAGGCGGTGTGGTGTCGGCGTGACGGGCAGCTCGCCGCGCCGCCACCGGTAGCCGGACAGCGGGTAGCCGGACACGGGGCAGACGAGCGTGGCCGCCGCACCGGCCGACACGGTCACCACGCGGCGTGGCAGCGCGCGGGCCGGACCTGAGCGCACGGCAAGCGGGTCGTATCAGTGTCGCTCGTCCGACAGAGTCGTGTCAGTGTCGTTCGTCCGACAGGGTCATGTCGGTGTCGCTCGTCCGACAGAGCCGTGCCAGCGTCGATCGTCCGATAGGGCCGTATCGGGGTCACCCGGGCGGTGGGCCGTGTCAATCAGAGGGAGAGAGGTGCGGCCAAACCGATGGATTAAACGGGCAGCACTTGGTCAGTGGAGAAAAGCTGAAATTAAGTGTTATAAATGGCCCCAACGAAACAAGAGCTTTTCATATTTCTCCAATTTAATGAATTATCGCCAGTGCATTGTCGGTCAGTTATTATTGTATGCTGTTAAGAACAACACGACCAACATATTTGAGACCTCTCTTAACCGCATCGAACTGCAAAACTTTGGAAATTATTGGCTTTGATCTGAAGGAACACCTTGTACAGTCTGCTTCGACAACTTATTGTTTCCACTGTACTGCTATCGAAACATTTCATAAGGAAAGCATGCCTATGTTAATTGAATTTAGAAAAACTGAACTCCTCTGACTTTAAAAGAGTTTCAGTAATTTGTTATTGCGAGCCGTTGCAACTGTTGTTCTTATAAGTCTTTCGAACGTTTACAGCAACAATTTCGTCCTCGCTTGTGACCGGGCAACGTATTCATCTCGGCTAGTGAAACGGCCGCATTTATCTCGACTCTGAAGTCTTACAGGCAACGTGCAGCATTTCAGGTAAACACACGTATACGGCCGTACCGGTGAGGATTCTTATGGTGGCCCATCCGGGATTCTCACCGTAGACGTTCACTTTGGCTGAGTCACGCGCGCTGCCGGCGGCATTCTGTGCTCGGCACCGGTACACTCCGCCGTCCTCCGCAGTCACATGGTGCACAGTCAGCTGGCTGGTGACGTCACTGGAGCCCGAGGAGCTCGTCCGAACCATATACCTGCCGGAGCCGTCGGCCGAGTCGGAGTTGTGCAAGGTTTTTTGAAATATGGTCACTTTATTCATCCTTATTTGTAATCATTTACCAAAGGACATGGAAACCGGAGACCCGGAAAGGGGAAGGACCAGCAGACCCTAACTTCGGTTACGCCTAATATTTGCTGCTTCATTTCTGAACACAAATTTTGCGTTAGCGTCATGACGTTGCCTGTTAAAAAATGCAGCCACTGCAAAGATACGCATAGGTGAGATTAACATTGTCAAAACATGCACGTAGTGGATTTGTTTTGCTATTGACAAAGGACCGCACATAAACTGCGTTACCGCACATAAACTGATGCGTTATAACCCATAAGTGCAAAACACTTTCCGAACCACTGCATGTCTCTTAACGCGTCATATAGTCTCCAATGACATTTTTTTTTAAACGTGGCGTGCAAAACCGGTAGGTTGCGTTATCCATGTTCAAAAATTGTAAGTGTTATCTGGTTCTTATCAATAAGATAGCTTCGGCCGGCATACCAGTCACTCGCCTAATGGGTACAGTTGTTGGTGCTGCCAGAATTCACGAAGGGTTCGTTTCCAGCCAATGATAATCAACCCATTCGATTCGAGACTGCAGTGGCCGCCCCAGGGCCTAATTCGTTTGATCGATACGAGTAATCAGGCTGAAGTCAACCCGGCTACTGGGCACTCACAGGTGCGTGCGCGTGCGCGTGTGCGTGTGCGTGTGCGTGTGCGTGTGCGTGTGCGTGTGCGTGTGCGTGAGCAATCCAAAAAATTATCATAGCCCCCATCCCTCATTAAGCACACCACTCAGTGGATTTCGCTGAATTTTTAAGATAGCATCGACCGGAAAATAAATGCAACAACCATGGGTGAAGCTTTTCCAAAAATGTTGGTGCGACCCAGGCCCCGCCAAAAGCATTACAGGAGATTCCGCCCTTAGAAGGATCGTCCAAATCAATGATGAAGTGAAATAACTTCGAAGCTATCTCTATTTCAGGTTATTTTACCCAGAACTGTCAGCTGAACACAAACGAGACATGTTTGCTGAGTTTCAATTATCTCCACGATGTACATTTGTTCTACTTCTTCTGCAAACGCTGGAGAACCGCTGATAAGTTTTTGTCACGAAGTAATCGATCTGAATACAGTGAAAGCCTGAACGATGCATCTCACTTAACTCATTTTCAGCAATGCGGCTTCACGTCTTGACGTAAATGCACGGTAATAGATGAATGCAGACTTGGGACATCGGACGCCAGTGCCATCTTACTGAGGCTCCGAAGCTTCTAGGATAGAGACAGATATCGTGTTTGCTTTATGCACATCCTGTGCCATGCATACGACAGTGCATAATTCCATTCGAGCCGTTGACAATCGAATGATAATGAAGCAAATCACGTCAAGAGTGGCATCACAGTTGGAAACACTCAAAGGAAAAGTCAAAAGTAGGTCATTCACATGTATTGCAGACGGCCATGGTCAGGCTGGAACCAAACAGCTTCTATGACGCCACAGTTCGCTGACACGCGTGCTCCCAACGTGACCCAGTACACTTCACAGCGATCCCTCGGAGCGGAAGAACTTCTTGGAAAATTCACGCTGCTTGTATTTATCTGGGTCCGGCTAACGGTTGCGCCTTTCTTTATTTGTCAGGAGGGCTGCCACCGCCGGACGCGGGTCAAACCTCGTGGTGCCCAAGCAGTTGACACTGATGACAAGTCGGTCATTCACCGTTGACAGACGCATGCCCTGGCGATGGCTGCTGCGCACAGTGTTGTAGTACGACACGGCACGCTCGGTGCCCATGCTGTGCGGAGTGACGCAGAGGAGCGACGACAAGAGTCGCTTGCAGACGCCTTTAGCATTTTGCGTCATCGCCATCAGCTTGCCTTCCATGTCAAGATGCCGGTCTCTGGCGTCGCTCATCTTGCGCCACTGGTCGCAGGCATCTCTTATGAACTGGGCCACGCTCTCTCTGCCAAATAGGCCGGATGCCAAGTTGCGACCGGCAGCGATGAACTGTTTCCTTGACCCGGACTCAATCATAGCGACCATGTCCTGCACAACTTGCTCCTGCTCGGCATCGAGCCTGTCGCCCAGGAAGTTCGTCGCAGCCTGAACGATCTCATCACGCACAGTCTCAAGTGTTCTCTTCATCAAAGCGAGACTGCTGTGCGCTAAAACGGCTGGTTCGTCCGCAGTTGGGACGAACTTTTCCTCCCGTCCACCAGGCAGAGGCTCCTCTTTCATTAACTCCAGCTGCAGCAGCGCAGCATTGCGGGCCTCCAGCACATCTGGTAACACGAGGTCCCCGCGTTGGAATTTTTCTGCAGGTGGTAGAAAATTCTGCACATGTCGGCCATGACGCTCGTCACACGGACTGCGCGGCCGCCCGCGGCCCATTTCTTGCTAGGGCTCTCGGCTTCAGCCTTCTCTTCCTTGCTGCCTTTTGCTGCTGTCTCCTGCCATAATTCTCTACAGGCCGCTAGGTTCGTCAGGACAGCGTTGATTGACGGACAGCAGGTGCTCGGCGAAACGTACCTCGAAGTGCTGGGGGAAAGTAACCACCTTCTCGCTGCTCTCGCGGGAGCGTTTTGTTCCTGGACTCCGATGTTCGGAAGTGCGTTATTAGAGCACACAGATCTGTCTTCCAGTGCAGGATCTTCGATGCCGTCTTCTCCACACTCTCGAGAGCTGGGTCACCCTTGTGACACACGCACCAGATGGTGATCAGGTCACGTCCCAGCAGGTCATTGAGCCTTTTCCAGAGACGACTGCTGCGACCCGTGTTGGCGCTCTCTCCGTCCGTGGTCAAGCCAACTAGCTTGTCGAGAGGCAGATCCAGCCCTTCAACAGCAGTTTTGACCGCCTCTAGTAGACCTTTTGTGCCATCTCCTTCCGGTTCCACGACGCTTAGAATGTAGGTCTGCAACTCAGCGTCAGCATTGACCACTCTGGCAGTCACAAATTTGTTGTCTTGCTGCTGACGGTACATACTTCCGTCGACCTGTATGCTGTAAACAACTTCAGCGGCAATCTTGGCGCCGATCTTGGCCCGCTCTAACTTGGAGACGACGCTGAGCATCTCCCGGTACATATCCGGAACTCTGCAGTGAAGAGCTGCAGGAGGTGACTCTATTGGCTACAGGTCCACTTCCCAGCCACCCTCGCTTATAGCTGTCCAGACTCGCTGCTCGTGCAGCGCTGCGAGGGACTGGGCTGGTCACGACCAAGCGGCCAGAGTCTCGTGCAGGCTATCGTTGTAAACAACAACGGCGAGCTCCAGAAGCGTCTTGGTGACACCAGCGGCAGTTCTATTGAGGATGGACATGCACGGGTGTTTTGGGCTTCCGCTATTGCATTACTGCTCGAGGTTTTTTCGCATCCACAGTAACAGCACGAGATTCTCCGTGCATGTGATCTACCGCGCCCATCAGTTTCTCCACGCTGTCCACTCTGACGCCGTTGGCTATGTGAACCCACCCGTTTACCGAAGCCTTGGCTGCCCCCACCTCGTGCTCTGCGCAGATGGTGTACACCAGCACAGCTCACTTCCTGCCGCTTATCTGCCAGTTTTCTTGGAGAAGGCAGTCGAAGGCGTTTAACAACCACTGAACGTTCAGTTTGGCTTCCTTGTACCACTCGTCAGCTGTCGCACTGCTCTGGCTCGGTTCCGGTGGAGTGGCAGGGTGCGTCTCCGAAGCAGTAGGGTGGCTCATGGAAGCGGCGAGGAACGTTCCAGAAGAGGTGGGTTGAGTATATCGGGTGGGATCTAGGAGCAGGGAAGCTGCAAGGATTATAATTGACCCACGAGCAGAAGAGAATTCTCACGAAAGGGCACAAGGATAGTAAGACAGATATTTTCTGACTGCATGTATCAAGTTACCAGCTCTTGCTTTCTGTTCATGAAGACCGGGATATTATTTTCGGAGATGTCATGGCAATGGCAGTACTGCAAATACTGAACAAGTGGTTTCCTCTTTTGTAGGGAGTTTGAGGTCCAATCGTGTGACATGTCGTGTTTAAACAAACATTTTGATAAGACAGCACGACAACGCTCGTATACATTCTACATAAGCGTCAGGTTTTCAGGGCATGAATATTTCGCCGCGGGTCATTTACACCAGGGTTATCACCACACGAGTCACTAGGCATGATTACGCGTTTCGCATACTGTCTTCTGCCTCAGATCAATGGGATATGTTTTGCACTTCATTAATTCAAAAGGTGCATTTTACGGCATGTCACAGCAAAACGACATAAAGCGCAACTTTGTGAGCTATTTACTTGTCCCGCAATGCACCTAGCATGAGTGAGATGTAAAGTAAAAATACAGCCGGTCAAGCTTCAACAGGTCACTGTTAAATTCATGCAGCCTGCTGCTGCTGATATATAATCAACAGTATGGCCCAAAAATTTACCACCATTATTTCGTCAGGGGACCGTGACCTTAGGTAAGGTCAGGACCCAACGTTATGGGTACATGTTGTAAAACACGGCCTGTTCGTCCAAAATCGGCAGTTTGTTAGACCGCAAGGTAAAAATGGATGCTGGATTCGAATTCACCGGTTAAAATAGCCTTTAATGACATTGAAGATCAACTAAAGGCCAGCACAGGTCTTCCGATGTCAATGACCTGTTTTGACCTCAGGTGTGCGGGAAATATTTTTTGGTCGTAAATGGGTCGTTGCTATACGTGAAAACAATGTTAGAAAGCAAACTAAGATACTAAATTTGATGCTAGATGAACATAAGAACTTTCCTCATGCATGCCGGGGGGGGGGGGGGGGGGTGCAAAGGTAGCACTGGGGACCGGAGGTCGTCGAAGTGCAAGACAAGTAAAATGCATCTTTTGACCTCTCACAGTCATCACTGGACGTGCTCTTACCTGAAAAACATTCTTTTACAATGTCCCTGTTAAAACACTGAATTCTTCGATTCTGAACATTTGAAAATTCGACCTCACTTGACCTTAACCTTGACCCTTGCGTCACCCACAATGACACTCGGTGCTTTGTTACCTCCTCACCTCGGTGCTTTGTTACCTCACATAGTCTTGCATATAATTCAGCCACAAAGGTTTGGTCAACAGCAAAAAGAAAGAAAATATATTATCCTTGTCCATGTGGGTTATTTTGGAATAATTATGTAGCTGACCTGACCCAAGTAAAGAGTTAAAAATTGTTTCATTTTACCCCTCATAGCCTCAAGATTCAACATTTACCGTTTAACCTCAGTTTTTCCCGGTCAGAATATGACGTATGTTCATTTAATCCCGCTCACGCGTCTGATCTATACGTGACCCGTGGTGACCTCAACATTGACCTGGGTAAAAAATGCGCGTGCTTTCGCCTTAAATCGTCAATACTTCTCCGCAGGTGCCTTTTTCCATGTCATCGATGGGGGCCGAGGTCATGGGAGAATGGGGCGGAAATCCGCCCTTCCTCCGGCCGGGTGAAGGGCCATCTGAGGCCCGACGAGGACGTGTTAATGATCACCGGAATCAAATCTTGGTAGCGCTTTGCTGCTGGTTCACCTGATGATTTGATCGGGAATGTAGCATTTACGCAGGAACAAATAATGGGTGGTGATCACATATCAGGAAAAATGTTTTGCAACAAATGTCCACCTGTTTTGGTCTAAAATATTTTGATGCGTAGAAACGTAAAACAATAGAAAAAAAATGTTGTCCTAACTAACCTAGCATGGCGATCCTTTTTGCAGCAGGTTGTCCTTCGTCAACGTCACCTTCGCCATCATCAGCAGCAGTCGTGCGGGAATCGGGAACGGCAATGGGCTGGGATGGAGGGTGGAAACATAGATACAGGAATTAACGTAAACCATACTGAGGGGTATTGCAAACAATCGAAAAGTGATACCGGTCCGACACCGGCGCCATGCTAAAATTCACATATAACGTTAACCGGTCTCGGCATGTTTCACTTGAACTGGTATTTACCAGCACCTGATCACATGATGAAAACACCCAGTGTAAACCACCATACATTGGCAAAGATGTATGTGCGATCAAATGAGCGTGTGTGCTGTGGGGGAGGGAGGGGAGAGGCGGTACCTCCTTTAGCATTCAGTCTTTCCGTGCACAACTATTCCGCAATGCTCCACCACGAAAAAAACAGGGAAGAGGAGGACCATCCTCAAAGCCCCCCCCCCCCCCTCCACACACACACACTTCATCCCATTCAAATTGCACCTTTTCTGGTAACGGCAAAGTCCATTGTAAGTCTAAACAAGTTCAATGCCGGTTCATTGAGCATTGCATAGGTTGCTACCACCGGTGTTGCGTTGCAAGAATCCTGAGTTTCGCATAACTTCTGCCATGGAAGACAGCCTTTTTGTGGAATGTCAGTACCCAATAAGATTTTGGTCAGACATGTGTCTTCCAGGATCCCCTGCAACTGGCCCTATCGTGCCCACTACAGGGGGGGGGGGGGGGGAGGGAGGAAGGGGGTATTGAGAATCGGGAGTTGTTTTGGGGCCATTTATCCATCTCCAGCCCCTTGCCTCTACGTGGCCATGCTGAACGATGAACATTCCCCTTGGGCCAGGGGCCAGCTCTTTCTAGCAGTAAAGACTAAAGAGACTCAACAAGGGAACAGGATCAATGAGACTTGACAAGGTAATGAGTGAAATCAAATATATTAGCACAAGCTTTCCATAGTTGGCTGAATGTTATTCCCCAGGAAATGGAAATTTTTATCGGTCATGCCAAATGAAATTCGGGCTAAGTAGTGAGTGGAACGCGTGTATTTACCTACAGTTCGCAATAAACAACTTTGTCTCTCCATCCCTCCCCTTCCCGCCAAGGCTAACACACTCCTCAATCTTCCCTTGACACCTTTCCACAGCTATGAATCCCTGATTATTTCGATATTTTGCGAATTGCATACAATATTTCAGTTTGCTTCTATCTCCTGCTTATGGCATGCCACGAAATCCACTAGTTATAGTGAGCCACGCCATTCAGACCTGCAGAGTGCGGCAGGCCTTTCCTGCTTTCTTGCCCTGTCTTGGGACTCCGTAGACCCAAAAGAAGCAACTGCACAGTGCACAGCAAACTGGGAATGAAAGAGCATCAAATAGCTACCTTTTTGCAGATAACCGCCGTATGTTCATTGCAGAACCCAGAGACCTGAACGATTACACCAATCGACAACGGATCCACCACACACAATTCAATTAACGCTTATAGGGCCTTGCTTCTACCAACCGCGGGTTTGCCGCCGTTGTCAAGTAACGAATTTGTATATGCTGCGTCGTTAAGTGCCTTAGGCCGCGTTTCATTTCAACCACTGTGTTATTGGTAGACAAACACAAACCCAGCCCACTCGAATGCTACTGTTTCATACCAGCTACTGACTACTCGAAAGCGTTACATTAGCCGCGCACCTGTGCCAATCAAATTTGGGAAGAAAAATAAGTTTGTGAGCTTAGAACCAGTCACCTATCATCAAGTCGCAAGCTTAAAAAAAGATGTTCCGCTTAATCCCTAGCAGCCCGCACATTAACTGAAAAAGCCAAAGCACTAAAAAGATGTCGCTTGCGCTGCGCGCTGCCATGTTCATGGACGCCCCGCCGACTGCCGAGATGTTAAAACCTTTTGCGAACCCAGTAGTCGACAAGTGTGACGTCATACCCTTCGCGTTACGAATCCATCATGGCCGCCGGACCAATCGTAGAACAGGATTTCGACTATTGGTAGCACGATAGTTAAGATGAAACGCGGCCTGATTAGAAAAAACCGCCGGCTGCCAAGAAGTTACCATGTTAGGAAAAAGACGCTGTGAAAAACTATAAAGAAAGGTAATAACGTCGTCGCTCGTAATTGTGAGCTTCAGCCATATTCCAGCATTGCTGATTCCTCTATTCAGGCAGTGCATTGCCGTTTTTGCTTACCTCTATTTGATCTCCCACTGGAGGGGCAAAATAAGCTCACTGGGGGGAAATTTCGGTCACTGCGGGGGCATTTACCCCTCCCCCAGTTAACATGTTATCCGAGGCCCTGGTGGAGAGGGAGGGGGGGGGGTAGGGGGCGCTTCCGTCCTCACCTGCCCCCCAGCTGCGGCGGAATCACGCCGTCCTTGGTCCAGGTGAAGCGCGGCGGCGGCGAACCTGCGGCCGTGCAGGTCAAGGTCACGGCCGTGCCTGACCCGGGCTGCACCGTCTGGTCCACCAGCGAGGTCAGTAGGCGGGCCGGCCACGCTGTCGGAGACGGGGCCTGGTTAGCCGCGCCGGCCGTTGACCACGCTGACGTCCTCAGCCGAGGGGACCTGGTCAGCAGGTGATGATGTGATGTGGTTGTCTCTACTCGAGACGCGTCTCCCATCCAGTTACCAATTTCATGAAGGGAACGATGGGAGCAGTCCACGTGATCGAAGAGACGCAGGACAGCTCACCCATAGGCCGTAGATTCGGACCGCAAAGACGGTGGCCGGCTCGGCTCGGCTCGGTCCGGCAAAGCACACGTCGCGGTCGGCTTCAGATGCGAAGGAAGGGGGGCTAACTGACGTTGGGCGGCCGTGTCATGGCAAACAACATAAGAATGTGTAACAATTAAAAGACCCCTGCACGTTGTCTTTTCTTGCATGGTCTGGTAAAAAGAACGGGGTAAAATTTTTCCCCGTTGCATTAACATGGTGCCACCCGGGCGACGCACACAGTCTGCAAGTCAGTAGACAGTGATTCATTGAGCATGTCGCTTATCCGATACATTTTGGTGCACTGAAGGTCGATTATTATCAGAATAAGGCTTATGAACTCATGATAAGCTTAACAAACTCTCCATACTCATGATCAATGTCCTGATAGTTTTGAGTCATGTAATTATTATTATTATTAAAGTCGTGAGCAACACAAACCCATTCTTCCAGTTCATATGCAGGCACGCTGATATGCAAATGACGTAGGATGCCGCTCTCAGGGCTTAGGAGAACCACGACATGACCATTTCAAATGTACTGCGTTACGGTACGCAGTCAGTTATCTTCGGGCCATGCGGCGAAGACCAGAAAGCCCACGAATACTGCGTTACAGCATCATGCAGTGCGGTGCAGCATCTCTTAACGCATTGTGAGGGCACGTGCGCGAGCGGCCGTGCGGCCACGCTGTGCGAAAGAAACAAGGCGCCACGCTCAAAGCTTGCAATCAATTGTCTGTTATGTCATGCCATGGCATATCAGTGTAGGGATTGATTACAAGCAAGAATGGAGAAGGTTTAAAGGGAATGTTCCACGCTCGAAGATATTGAGGCAAGCATCAGCTGCGATGAAATATGTTCACTCGTGATTATTGGGACGGTTTAAGCTAAAAAAAACTGTTTTGGCTGACAAAACATCACTATTTAGTTCACGTAGTGCCCAATATGTCATCGTTTGATTACGTCTTAGGAAGACTGTATGACGTCAGAGCGGCTGCCAAAATGGCCGTGCAAAATTTTCATCTTAACGGACGATCTGACTTACTCACTGTGGTACTTCCACATTTTGAGAGGTGTCGTTGTATCGATGGGTTGTTGGAAAAACCCGAATATTGTTATTTGCTTGTTTTTTATTATTTTTTCTGGTGGTCTTGCATATTGATCGGTGATATGTTGTTTACTTTGTTCCCATGATCGGCTAAGACACTTTTGTTAAGTTATTCAGTTCCCAGTCCTGTTTCTGTCATAAGTACTACCACCGTTCAACTTGCTATACTGTGTGGCACAGCACGTGATTCACGTTCAACGGAGATTTAATCAGGAGGCCTAGTCGACCCATTCGGTGCCACCACCAGAATTAGCGAGACCCTTTCTCTACACCGATGCTGTGGCTCCATTTGCGGCTGGTAGATAGGGAGCTCCATTCTCTTCGTCGTTTTAGTCGCATTTCATTTTCATTCACCTAAAACGCACACTTTTACACTCAGTTTCCGTTTGTTTTTTCCCGATCCCCCCCCCCCCCCCCCCCACCTCCATGAGGAAGCGTGATAAGGGCAAGAAGAAAGACTGGCACAGACTCGAACTCGACCCCTGACATCGATACTCCGTTGGATAAAGACGCCGGAGTTGCTGCGAGCCCCGCTTTGGCTGCCACTTCACCTGATGACCCTCGCGCGCCCAAGGCCCATTCCATTAGTTCCAACACTTCCACCAGGATGTGTGGACAGCATCCATCTTCGTCCAATGCCTCTGGCTACGACTCTCACTTGGCTTCGACCACCCCGGTGTCCGCTCGCTCTGATGCTGATCCTCGCTCGACAATGGCCAGGAATCGCGAGACTTCTGAGCCAATTCTCGATCCATTCGGCCCTTTTGTCGTTGTGTCGCACTGTTACAAGAATGACTTCTTCGGAACATTTGACGTCTTGTGGTCATCACAACAGAATCAAATGTTTTGAGATCCACGCAATCTTAAAATTCACCCAACGGATCACCAGTTACAAAAACAGCCGGTAGTGCCCAGACCGAGACTCTGCTCCAAACCGCGCTGAGTTCTGCGACAACAGCGCAAATACTTATGTTCTCTTCGCCAGGAACACTACGAAAAGCACGGTCTTTGCACCTGAGCTCCGATATGCGAAGGGCCCCAATCTTTTTTCCTGCACAATAGAGCACTTAAAGAGAATGTTCCACATTGGAAGATATGGAGATAAACATCAGATATGATGGGAAAAGCTTACTTGTAACTATTGGTAAGCTTTCAAGGTTCAAAAACAACCCTAGGCAGCAAAATTTCAAAGTTCGTAAAAATGCGCCCCATTATGTCATTGTTTGATGGCGTCATGGAATCGTGTTGTGACGACAGAATACGTGGCAGCATCTGGTAACCAGGTCTAAAGAATATCTCGAAACGCACGAAAGCTGGCGCCAGCCGACCGTCCTCGTCGCGGGCCCTGTGTCCGGTGGTGGATTAGCAAGTAGCTTTTTGTGGATTTTGCTGTCTTGGTACTGGCCGTAGGCAATGCTTTGGTGGACTGTTTGGCATCCACATCGTAGCGATCGCCAGCTTTTATGGCAGGTTGCTAATATCAAAGCACGACATGCTGTGGAAACTGTCATGTAGTGTCATGAATGTCGTACCGAAACCTGCCAAGGACTGTTGAGAATGTCAATACTGTATTGCCGGCCTATCCTCGCCTCCAGTGCTGTAGTCCTGACATTGATATATTGTGATGTGCACACTAGTAACTTTTTATAATTTGTGGCTGGAAATGCAGTCATATGCAGATATTAACAATAAATCTGCAACATTGCTATGAAGTGATTCTCAAAGCATTGCTATTGCTATGATAAAGATGGTAAGGTTGAGCTACCAATAATGCTTTTCTTGCTCGGGATTATTTATGCAATCACTAGTTAACCCTGATATAACCATTGTGATGCAACTGCATTCTCGCTGTTGATAGTCCTTTGGTAGTGTTAAATCAGTTGTTACCAGTGATTCATAGATTAAAAACTGTCATATCATAGGCTTGACAGAGAGTAGTCAACCAATGTGGTACATTGTGTAATGACACGGGTCGACAGTGTCATTGACGCACTACCTCAGTGCTCTGCTGTGGCATGACACAATGAACAATGATGCGGTTTTTGTACTGCAATTCCTGCTGCTTTCATAAAAATTCCATCATGAGAAGATGTGTCCAGGGTGCATTCTTGAACTAGCCCCACATCTGACATTTGACTGACCAAAAACACATGATACAATATGCAAATTACTTTCGGCAAAGCGCACAACCAATAAGTGATATCACTTGCTCGGCCTGTTTTGCGAGTCCACAAAGCGTAGATGAAAAATACATAAACACGTCTTCTGCTTCCACAACCACGCCACATGCCGCATTTACCAAGGTGCTACGCTCAAAAGTATTGTTCACGCAAGTAATAACGCATGTATAACAAGAAAATATTACATACAGTGAAATGGCACTGCGAACTTGTCGACCTTCCGCAAGGTTGGAGACATGACAAGTGCGTGTACTTGTGGTTAGATAGGCGAAATGCAAGGAAGTGACGAAGCAGCCAGCGCACACAAGGCTCATGAACAAAATATTATTGAGTGCCATCCAAGGCACCAACAGCAATACTTTTTCACCTTTCACAGCACCCAGCATCTTACAGTAGTGGCCATGTGTTAGGCCAAGTTGTAGTGGCCATGGCAATGATGACTCACGAGCAATGTTGCCTGCATACAAAACTTGTTAAGGCAGTAGTATGTGCATCCATAATAATACAGCACTGTATTTTCAGAATTTTTACGGCATAGGAATTTTGCAAAGCTTTGCTATGTGAGCTTTTGCCAAGCAGCACATTAACGAGCCGCACGGACCTGCCCTACTGCCAAAATAAATTGCTAATATAATGACATGCTATGGATGAATTCATACTGTAATACTCGATAGGCTCAAAATGGTGGCAAGATCACAAGAAAGTAACAAATTGCCTTTGTACACCCCTGCAGCACAGGAAATCCTAGCGTTTTTTTCGGTTTGCTGGCATCGTTACCTCGTCATGTTCAAACGTGAACATAAAGATGGAGGCAGGCATCGATATGTCACACTTAATTGTGAGCCATACGACTTTAAAAATACCAAGGCAATGTTTTCTCTCAGTAGTGCAAACCTCGCACGCGCACGCCTCATCACATCTAAATCAATACAAGCCACTGGCACGCACCATCAGTGGTCGCACCCATTTCAAGTGCCTGATTCACACACAAATATCAAATAAGTGTGATCCCACACTCGCACAACTCACGAGACTATCAAATTGCAAGTTTTCTTGCAATTTTTGCGCAGGTTTTTGGTTATAACACCGCATTCCACCGTGAGTTCCCTCCAAAACACAGTCTCAAGGGGGGTTCATAGTAATGAAACTCAAGAAGTCTTGCTTGTAAGGCTTAATTTTTTGTTTAATATTTCAATTTAGTCATACAACATGCATGCGATATTTAGTAAAATACATATATAGAATTATTGTAATATTCCCGTAGTTTTAACAATCCTTGCTAACCCATAAAGCCGTGCAATTTTCTCTGCTCCGGTGCGCAAGCGCCAGCTGTGCTGTCTGTAAACAATGCGTCAGCAGAAGAAAAAAAACGCCGGCATGAAAAAAGATTTGCCGTCGCGTCTCCTTTTTTATAACATTAGGGAGAGTGCCGGTCTTTCTGTGTCATATCTCTCTTTGCAGACAGCGGTGTACTTTTTATAACATTGGCCTCCGTTGA